TTGGGCGAGACTCGAAGCTGACGCTTTTAAGCCTGGCGACACGAGAATCGGCAGATTCGAGGCGGCGGGTCTCGAGGCGGCCAGCGACTCAACGGACGAGGCAAAAGGACTGAGACGGTCTGAAGATGGGCTGCCGGGCGAGCAGATGCCGACGTCCGAGAAGATCCGATTGGTCGGCGCATCTGCCCATCTGCGGCCGGGGCTGTCGAGTGAAGAGGAGGTCGGACTCAGCTGCCTCGGCGACCGGCTGACGAGACAAGAGGCGGCCGCGGTGCCGGAAAGAGGGTTGTCGACGGTCTGAAAGGGTCTGGCCGGTTTCAATGGTGCTTGCTCCTGCTTCGTCTCCTCCTCCCCCTCTCTCGACGGGGGCTGGTGAGGCTGTGCGGCTGAGACGCCGCAATCTGGAACCTCCGGCTGTAGCGGTTTCTGAGGCTCTTCTTGTCGCTGCTCGGCCAGAGCATCGCTCTGTAGACTGGAAGGCTGAGCATGGCAACCGGAAAGAGGACGTTTTTTAGGCGGTTGTTGGGGTTGCTGCCGTTGGTGTGTTTTGGTACCGACAGAAGGAGTGGCCGAAACTGGACTCACCTCCGCTTTATGGTGCCCCTTGGAGGCGGACGAGAGAGTGGCCGGCTTGTGGGGCGAACCGCTGAATGCGAAGGAGGCAAGTGAAAATAGGAGAAATAAATACAAGCTCACATCTTCTGTGAGCAGAATACGAAGCTACGGGCTCCGATAACTCTAGATCACATAAAACGATAAAGTACCGATGGTTCAATATTCCCAAAGTCAGGTGAGTAAAACAGGTGTGGCAGAATTCAAGTATAACTCCGTCATTGTGCTATTCGACGTAGACTGTGTAGGTGCACCTAAATCACCGAGTCGATACGTTTGAGACCATTCTATCTCGTGTTTGGTTCTTACCGTCAGACCTTTGGACCCAAACAACTTTACAAGAATTGTTTTGCTCCACTAGCCTTTGGAGAAAAGACCGCAATGGCGATCGAATCAACATAATCTTGCAATGTTCGGATTTTGGTAATGGATCATATTTATTTATAAACGGGGGCTCAACCGTAATGAAGTGTCATAGTTTATTTGGAAACAGTGTTCCTCTCCCGGTTCCATAAAAAGGAGGCATAAAAGGTAAAGTTAATACACGAAAAAAGCTTTCAGTTTGCCTAAACCTGAACAAATAGACTTCATTTAAAAATTAATTTCTTATCAAAGAGAGATGTTATTTTCAAGTAAGCCTAAGGGATAATTCATGAACAGGAATAAATCGTCCAAATTAGCAAAATATTCAGTTAACTTATTTCATTCTTAGGGGGACCTTCATTTCGAATGAAAGTACATGAAGAAGAGATTCGTTTTTCGATCTCACCAGAT